AAGGGGCCAAAGGGTCTCCTTGTCTAACTGATCTCTATATATGGATTTCCGGAGATAGCAGCCCATTCACAAGAATGCGTGTAGTAGCATTTGTATGGAGAATATTAACCCATCTACGCAAATTCGGACCAAAATTCAACCTTTGCAAACAGGCGTCTAAGAAACGTCAATCGACATGATCATATGCTTTTTCGAAGTCTATGAAAACCACAACTGCATTCTGCTTAGATTGTCGCGCTACTTTAACCATTTCATTAATTAATAGGATGTTATCTTGTATGTGGCGACCATTTATAAAACCTGTTTCAGAGGGATGGATTATATCGGCCATCACTGGGATCATACGGTTTGCAAGAGCTTTTGCTAACAATTTTTATACTACCGTTAGTAAGGTTATTGGTCTATAGTTTCTGATGTTTGATTTTTCTCCTTTCTTATATAATAACGTGAGTATTCCTTGACTCACTATCTCGCCCATTTCACCAGTCTCCCAAACCTCTTTAAAGTATTGCATTAAGTCGGGTGAAAGGATGAGCCACATGGTTTCCCAAAATTCCTTGGGAAGACCATCCACCCCCGGGGTCTTGTCTTCCTCCATTTGTATTAATGCCGTCCAGATTTCATCTTTGGTTAGAGGTTTTTCAATACTCTCACATTGTTCATCGGTGATGGACTGAAACAATGGTTCTAAGAAGAGGCGAGTGGTTTGGTCATCTTCCAGAGTCCGAGTAGGGTCTTTTGATGATTTGAACAGGTTTTTGAAAAAGTTATAGGCAACTTTCAGACTTGCAGCTGAAAATACTGGTACCGTGGGATCCTGAGAAGCGTCGTGGTCACATAGGATATTTATAGAGGAGCGTTTCGCTCGTGATCGAGCCATAGCAAAAAAGGATGTGTCCATCTGTCCTTCTGTTGTGAATTTCGACAACTTGCCTCTGATTAGTTGTCCTTGCCAACGATGTTGCGCAAATGACAGGAGTTGATTTATGAATTATTGGATATTGATATTTTGCGAAGAGTCATTTAGATGGTCCTGAGATTCATAATTTAAGATTTGTTCCTGAATTTGTATTTCTTGTAAATGTCTGTTTTTTGCTTGTAATTTAGAAAATTCATTACATTTTCTTGCAAGAAAACACAACCCATTGTTGAACCAAGAGATATATGAATCCTGTCTTTCTAACGTTGAGTGCCAATATTCCCATACATCTGCTAAATAATTTTTAAAGATATCATATGATAACAGAGATGTATTTAGTTTGTATACTCCCCTTCCTTGATCTGGTTTTTATTTTAGAGACAGGAGGACTGAACACATTTTATGATCTGCCCCAGTCCATGGGCTTTGTGGGAAAATTGTTGCCCCTATGAGAGCTCTCTCTAGATCTTCTGACATGAGTATGAGGTCTATTCTAGATCTGGATTGAAGTCGATTACCTTGATTTCGTATGCATGTGAATAATCTTTCTCGTGGGAAGATTCTCCGGTACGAGTCAAACAGACGTTCATTTTCGCACAAGGTTTGTATAATGTTCTCGTCCTCTTCTATATAAGGAGGACATGGAGAGGGGATCTTCCAACGATCCAACCATCTATCCGGGGCTGCATTGAAGTCCCCTGCCATAACTAAAGGGATCCCTTCCGGTATCTGGCTTCTTATATCTTGAAAAAACCTGATTCTATCTTCAATTTCATTTGGTTCATATACATTAATCACACATATAACATCTGGTCCAATCGTAAAGATGGCAGATATCCATCGACCCTGCTCTTTATCTGGCACCCATTGGACTACTTGAGCTCTAGAGTCTGGTGGTATCCAAATGGCTGTACCTGCTGACCCGTTTCTTGAGGTCGGTGCACTAAGCTTATCGAACGGCTATATCATGTTGTGAGCCCTGATATGAATGGGAGAGTTGGTGAGATGTGTTTCCTGTATGCATATGATGTCAGGCCACGATCTACCGCCCACGCCTTTCAATTGTTCCAATATAGCTTTTCTTTCAACAAGATCCAGTTATGTTTGAGATCATCCGCAAATTCAGAGAGAAGGATAAAATAACTTCTGATGAATTTACGATGGTAAATGACTTGCTGTTTCTTGAAAAGGCAGGGAATAAAAGGTTGTGTGTCCCGGATAGAGAGACCTTGCATAGTTTATTTTTAGGGGAATGTCATGATGCAACTGGTCATTTTGGTTATAAGAAGACTTCAACTAACTTAGTGCAGAAATTTTGGTGGCCCACTATGATGCAAGATGCGAAAAAATGCGTTGAAACCTGCCAGGTTTGCCAAAGGGACAAACCTAGGACTCAGGCTCCGCTCGGGCTTCTCAAGTCCTTGCCGATTCCTGAAGGTCCTGGTCAGAGTGTGTCCATGGACTTCATGGATACTCTTGTGACCAGCAGGACAGGCAAGAGACATCTTTATTATAGTAGACCGCTTTTCCAAGTATGCAAGACTCATTGTCATGCCAGAGACTGCTAAAACTGATTTTGTCATTAAACTGTTTCTGGATAATTGGGTACGCGATTTTGGACTCCCTACGTCTATAGTGAGTGATAGGGATGTGAGATTTACCAGCGAACTGTGGCATTCAACAACTGAGCAAATGGGCACTAAGCTACAAATGACGTCAGGGAACCACCCTGAGTCTAATGGCGAGGCAGAACAAATGAATCGAGTAGTACAACACTTGCTTCGACATTATATCAAGCCAAGTCAGGATGACTGGGACGAGAAGTTACCCCTCGTCGCCAGCCTGTACAACAACGATGTGCACAATACTACTGGAATGACTCCCAACCAACTGCACCTTGGTTGGAAGCCCAAAACTGCACTTGACTTTCTGCTACCAGAAAGACAACCCACTACAGCACTTGGCAGCATAGAGTTTGCTGTCAAATATGAACAGATGCTGCAGCAGGCCGTCGAACATATTAGAAAATCTTAGGATGCTATGATTGCATATGAGAATAAGCATAGACAACCCTCTAACTTTCAGGTAGGTGATAGAGTTTGGGTCAAATCATCTGAACTAGGTCAAGAGTTGGGGATTTCACGCAAACTACTGCCACAGTACTTTGGGCCCTGGGAGATCTTAGATATTCTAGGAGATCAACCAGATGGGCCTTCATACGTGATTCGCGTACTTACCCTGTTTTCCATGCCTCCAAGTTGACACCTTTCGCTGTCACTGATCAGTTTCCCTCCAGGAGATCAATGTTGCCCCCAACCATGGATGGACACGTGGACATTGACGATATCGTTGAGCACAAGCTGATGTCTGTACCCAAACCTCCCGGAAGGGGTCGACCGCCAAAGCCACAGATGCAGTACAGAGTGCGGTTCGGACATCACATTGATTCTCAAGAAGACTGGTGGTTCACAAGAGAGGAATTAATAAAGACTGCTCCCCAAATCATCTCAAGTTACGAGAGAAAGCTGAAAGGGAAACAGCCTGTTACATAAGAACTTCTCAGAGGACTATCGAAGTAAAGGAGGAGGGAATGCGAGGATTCGGGTCCCCGGCAGGCCTAAGGGGCCCCTCTTGCATCTGTGCCCACCCTAAGTGAAGACGGGCCTAACTAATCACGAGAGGCCCTCAACTGTCAATTTCGTATTTGGGGTCCAGACAGTTGTGACGCGTCAGTTGGTTGAAGGGAAATACAGGCCGAGCAACAAAGACATTCCACGACCTTCTGGGCCTTTCCAAGAATGCAGGCCCTGGGTGAGAATCGCAGCCTCACACACTGACAGTTGGGAGGCCCAACCGAAAGAGGCCCAGTAGCTGCGACACAAGCGCAGCATCCTAGGGCCTACCGGAAGCTTCTGGGCCCAGGCCCAGTCCAGCCAGGCTGCAAAGGCAGGCAGGATCATTCCATATAGGAAAGAGCTCGCCACCGGCAGCCTCATTCAGGCACTTGCTGGCTGGCGGCAGCGCTGCTGGAGCTCATGCTCGCGTGCTGGCTGCTATCACTGGAGCAAGGTGCTGCGCACGTGCGGTCGTGTGTGGAAGCAGGGCGCTGCTGAGGGCAGCGCCATAGCCCAGCCTCCATAGCTGGCTGTAGGCTTGGTTGTACAGTGAGGCGCAGAGGTGGTCTTTGGGTGTACCGAGGGAAGATGTGGGAGTAAGTCAGGGAAGAGAGAGAAGGATGATGATGATGATGATGTGAGGGCACATACCTGGTATTGGCGATGGTCTGCTATGGGTGACATCTTCAAGTACGTCGTGGGCTGCTGACGTCAACAGTTGCATTGCCAATCAGTAGGCAGACTGTAGCTGTGTAGTAGTAAGTAGGCTGGGCGCCGAGCGCCAAGTAGGGAGATAGGGCCTGGACACTCATGTTGGTGCTGGCGAGAGTAAGCTCTCATTGACATTGGTTTTCAGTGTTACAATTCTTCATTGGTGTTATATTGGTGCATTTCTGCTTTCTGGACACTGTGATACTACCTGGCCTTCAATGTGATTGTGCATACTGGACATTGTCATCTTGCTATTGCTCATTTTCCTTGCACAGTGGTGAATGTTGGCGAAAATCAATCATAGGTACCACTGGCCCTGACGGTTTTGAGCATCTGCCGAAAAGGTTACCCTACCCTAACAAATCTTCTTGAGTCTCGAATCATATCTGGTCGCTAGCAGTAAACTCACACTAGGGGTGACTAGGCCCTTTTAATCGCAAAATCAGCACCGAGATAGAGGCCTCCTTTTAGAAGGACTCGATTTGGCTGCTAATTTTGCTATTGCAAGTGCCTAGTGTCAGTTTGGCCTAATAGCCTGGCATAGTGGGGTATTTATTCCCTGAGTGTGTTTCCTGTAGACAGACAATACATGGGAGGATATTGACTGTATAAGGCTKGAAMAAWKWTCMACAAYCCMAAWWCSTTYACATTAAATTTCCTGTTCTCCTCTCCTCCCCCCCCCCCCCCCCCCCCCCCCCCCAAAGAGATTTTAGCTAATCTGTTTAAACTCCAAGCTTTTACTGTTACCTCTGGTACTTTCTTTCTTGTTGATCAAAGTGCAGTCTTCTTCTTTTCCACATTTGTCGTGACAAGCTTTTACTGTTACTTGCTGGTACTCACTTTCTTTCTCGTTGATGAAAGTGCAGTCTTCTTCATCTTGAATAATCGTCGTGATAAGTCCCTCAGGATTTTGGCCGTACAGGCCACTCTTCATGGATTTAAATGCTTTCTGGACCAGGTGCATTCAGACAACCGACATTTTGAATGTATAGAGTCCAGAAAGCGTCCGAATGCATGTAGAGTGTTCTGTAGTGGACCGAGGCCCTTCATCCATTTTGTGCTCCAGAATAATTAAGGCTCACTGTCCAGCAGCGCAACCCGTTCCCTACTGCCCGACAGGGCAAACCTTTTGCTTGCCTCCCGCATCTGCCCGTGAGCCGAGACTCGTGCTACCTTCTTCACCCGATTGCAATGCACAATCACTATTGCTGTATTTAGACTGAAAGATACCTACCTACCCCAAATGGAGCTATACTGACCGTACGGATGTATTCGGGGGAAGATAGTGCTCACTGTGGCATGGTCCACCACAAAATGCCGATCCTTTTCACACACAGTCTATGGACCTGATTAACTATGTCTATGCCGTCAAATGTGTTCGCAGGAAAGACCAGTTTCATCCAGCCATTCGGGTGATGAAGCGGTGCGGGAAAGTTTGTGCAGTTTTCTAGCTGGTGGCCATGACATGCAGAAGCTTGGTCCTGTTTCCATCAGAGAAGAGAACAAGTTTCCGGGAGATGGTTTAGAGTGTCAGGCTGGCCAAGAGAACAACAGAGAAGGCTTCCTGAAGCGGAAAGGAGGAGAATACACTTTCCAGCTGGAGGAAGCGGTCCTCGCTGCAGAGAAGCTTATGCTGGCGTGGGGTTCCTATGGCATTGACCGCATCACGATCGAGGAACGGGTCAGGTTTGGAAATCGGATCAGATCTAATGTTTTTTTTTTTTTTTTTTGTAGGGAAAAAAAAAACAAGGGAGTCATGTAAAAGGGCCTTTACGAATTAGACCCCAAATGAATGCCCCAACAGCGAGGGGCCCTGTCGGCCAGAACTTAAATTCACAAGCAGCAACCCAAAAGACAAGATCCCTGAGGCAAATGTCGCATCCAGAATGAGATGAAAAGTCGTTTTGAAAAGTCACAGTCAGGTCCTAGACGAACAGGTACTGAATTCAATTTTAAGACTGAGATAGGGTCATGTCTGTTCGGCAATAAGTCATGTCTGTTCGGCATTGGGTCACAGTCCCAGACAGGTCACTGTCCCAAAGGTCATGTCTGATTCAGACCAGGAGACCAAAAGACAGGCCCGATGGCCAAAGCAGCAGCAGACTATGGGAAAGGATACTGGGACACACACTTTGCAACAAAAGGTACTGGGCGGGAGTCCCAGGCACACTTGAGGCTGAACGCAGGCCATGCCAGACCAGTCCAGCACTATAAAGGACTGGCCAGCATCCCATTTGGCAGATGCTCATCTCGCATGAAAGTGTGGAAGTGCCGTGGCACTTGTGCGCTAGATATGTGTGAGCAGCGCTGGGTTGAAGAGCAGCGCTATGTGTGAAGGAAGAAGTGAGCGCTGGCTGGACAGAAGGCATCCATAGCTGCGCCAGCGCCAGTTAGTACATTAGTAGGGATAGTCAGTAGAAGAGTTCAGTGGGTATATTCAAAGAAGATCCTCTTGTGATGGGGAGTCTGCATGCATGACGAGTGAGAGTAGATCAGGATTATAGACAGAAGGAGAGAAGAGAGAGATCAAGGGAAAGAGAGAGAGAAGTGAGCTATGGTGAAACTTACCTGATGAGTGCTGATCTGGGTGTTTGGTTGCTGGTACTGAGGAGCGCCAGGCCTGGATCTCATGGTGGATGAAGAAGACTTGTAGTTCTGTTGGGCGCTATTCAATTTGAACTCGTGACTCTCTTTCTTTACTCTGACTATGATAATTGAGTTGTGTTTCCTGGCTTCCACTCATCCTCCATTAAGCTTTGTGTGAGGCAATGCAATCTGTGTGATCTGTATTACGTGCATGCTATCTGTTACACTCCAGCAAGTGATGAACAGTCGGGTTCCTTGCACATGTGATTCTGATTTTTTATATCTCGATGTAGATGTGTCATCCTTGCAGAGGGACCATGCTAATCTTCTCTACTGCATCGTTAACAAAGTTAATGGATGTCTGATGTCCCGAAGGACGAATTGTAGTTAATGTTACCTCCCATTTTTTTGTTTTTCGTTTTTGAAAGTCTCTCCTTCTTTTTCTTGTTCGCCTTCCATCAGTCCAGTTTCTTTTCATCTGGCCAGTCTACTAGTATAGATAGATAGATAGATAGATAGATAGATAGATAGATAGAGAATAGATAGATAGATAGATAGATAGATAGATAGATAGATAGATAGATAGATAGATAGATAGATAGATAGATAATGGGAAATGCAACAGCCAGTTCACATGAGTTTAAGTTGACGAAACTAACTCACATGGTCCTTCCCATTAAACCGCCAGTTCACACGAGCTTAAGTTCACGAAGCTACCTTCCAAGGCTCGCAAGCCTGCAACTACGCCTTTCGAAAGTGGCCTGCCACTTTCGCTTCCGGCCCAGGCCTGAATCGAACTGCTCTTGCCGCGTAAGCCGGCAAGAGCAGCACTCTGCTTTGGGTGACCTGGCAGTTTTTTTTCTGAATCGAACTGCTCTTGCCATGTAAACCGGCAAGAGCAGCACTCTGCTTTGGGTGACCTGGCAGTTTAAGTTTAGAACTTCGGATATCCAGTGTAGCTCATTTAAGCCCCCACTTCTCAGCTGGGTAAAGAAGGCAGCTCCTTAATGAATCTTTCTTCCAGTGATGAGCTAATTACCCTGATTTCTACAGACTGCCTGTTATGTTGGCTTACGCCCGTCTTCTTTTTTTTGTAATGCCTAGCCTGTTTTCTAAGTTTCTGCTGATGATCCCGCTCTGGGGAGCAAGACTCACCCCTTCCCCATCCACCAATTCCACCCAACCACTCTAGCCACCCACTCCAATCACCGATCTCACCCACCTATTCCACCCACTCATCTCAGCCACACATTCTTTCCAACCTTTGCAGCCCTAATGCTTGAACGATAGTGCTGATCCACCAAAGTAATGACATGGCATCATGCTGATGTAATATGGCAATAATGGCATACTGCTGACTGGCGTAGTGATGAGATGACGTGGTTGCGGCAAACGTTGGATTGCCGCCCACAGAAAGGAACACTATTGGCCATGCAGGAATCGCCGAACTCTGGGGTGGAAAAGAGGTTGTTGTGGTCACACACACACACACACACACACACACACACACACACACACACACACACNACACACACACACACACACACACACACACACACACACACACGCACACATACACACACTCAGATTGATGTGTTGTGTATGTCTTTCCTTGCTTTTTTTTCTGTCTTTTTTGCTTCATTTTTTTTGTAACTTGTAAGCACTTTCCGCCGGTCTAAGCGAGCAACTCCAAAGAGTGCCAAATAGTCGGTCATTCCTCATTTGGAGTGCCTGCAGCACTATTAGGGGTGCCGCTCGGTTCGGGATGTCTGTGTGGCCTGCGGGTGATGGTAGATGTCCGTTGGAGTGGCTTTTTGGCTCAGCAAGTGGTGGGAGCCAACAATCTGCAGGGTTCTTCTTGTGCTGTCAGTAGGTCTTGGATGGGTTTGCTCCATGTTGGATGTGTGGACTGCCTTGTCTATGCTCCGTGGCTGCCTTGCTGCCCGTCCCGGTTGCTCCTCATGCCGTTCTTTGCAGCTGCTGTGTTGCTGTTACATTCTGCGATTTCACACGGGCCTTCACAGGCCCGACATACCGGTTCAGGGGGTACCCAGGCCGGCCTCGCCAAAAGCCAGGCCTTTTCCCCCCGGTAGGCCCTGTTAGGCCACCGGTTGGCGCCTCAGCGCCTAGCAGACCAGGTCTGGCCCAAACGACATGACCGTTTGGGCCTGGCGGCGCTCTTGAGGCTGCCGCCCGCGGGTCTGGGCTGAACGGTCATTTCGCCGGTTCAGCCCACGGCGCAGGAGGCCAGCATCTAGGCCGACCGGCCGCCGGACGGTACTGAGGCCGGTCCAGCGGCCATTCTCGGTAGGTTGGAATGGAGAGGCAGTACCCCAGGAGCGAAACGCTGCGCTATTGTTGTTTCAGCGCAGCGGTTGGAGCTGCAGCGCTAAGTTTAGCGCACGGCAGCAGAGGAGAGCGAGGAGGGAGCCTTACCTGAGTACCGTGAGCGCCATAGCTCTCCGCGGTGCAGTCCATGCTCCCGCATCGGCCAAGGCACCATCTTGCACGACGCAGGTTAGGCCTGGGCCCCTCGCCCTCTCCCCTGGCTCTCTGTCTCCCCTCTTCTCTTTCCTTCCCTATCTCTTCTTCTTCTTCTTCCTCTTCTTCTCCTTCAGACTTCTTCTTCAACGTTCTTCTTCTTCTTCTTCTTCTTCTTCTTCTTCTTCTTCTTCTTCTTCTTCTTCTTCGTCAGACTGGAGACTTTGATACGAGTTGGACAGAGATCAGTGTTTGGACTTCGGTGGTAGGAGGCTGTGATACTTACCGGATTCGAGACCTTGGAGATGTTTGGGATTGATACCCGGCGGCATCACAGAATGGACACCGGTTACATTAGGACTCTGTACCTCCGACATTGGTGACTTATAGTCCACGACATCCTGGTCTTGTTCGATGACATTTTGGACTACCATATCAGTGACCTACTGGATTCTATCTTGGTGACATCTGGCGCTGCCTATACCTCCCACCTCCATCGTCTCTCCTCCCACCTTTCATCTGTGTATGGTTGTACGGGGCCTGAGCATCGTCTATGATTGACTTCAGACCCCACCATCTCGCGATTGCTTGTGTGTTGAGTGCTATCTGGATGAGTTCAGTCTATGTGAGTCAGTCCATTTCTCAGACTTCCGCTGCATACATGCTCATCCTATATTGGTTGATCTTTGGTTCTGCCCATACTTGTTAAAGTATTCACGAGTATGCAACAGTTGCTGTGTCGTTTGGCTGCATCGTTGGTCTTGTTTTGTGCTTGTGCTGTTGCCATGCCGTTCATCTGCGCGCCGTGTGTTCCCATAGATTCTGCGTTTTGCCACTGCTGCAGCGCTGCAGTGTGCTGTTGCTTTGCGGCCAGTCCGCTTGCCCTGTCGTTCCACGCAGTTAGCTTTGACACCTTGCAGTTGGGTTGCCCTGACAGCGTTGCCTGGTGCTTCACTGAGTCGTTGCCTGCTGCTATGCTCCGCTTGCGATGTTGCCTGCTGGCAAAGGGTTCATGACCCAAAGAATCAATGTGGGGACTCTGCTGGAATAGTACTCACACACACACACACACACACACACACACACACACACACACACACACACACAATCAGTTTTATGTCTGTCAGTCTTTTTCCTGTTTCCTGTCCTCCCTCTGATTTTTTCCAAGTATTTTCTTTGTGTGCCCAACTGAGCACCCTTAAGTAGTGCCAAACAGTTGGTGGTTCCTCGTTTGGAGCGCCAACTGCACTCTTAGGGGGGCCGCTCGGTTCGGGATGTCTGTGTTGGCTATGGGTGATGACGGATGGTCGTTGGAGTGACTCCCTGGCTTGGTGGGTGGTGGGAACCAACAGTCTGCGGGGTTCAACCGTGATGTAAGTAGGTCATGTGCTGCTTTGCTTCGTGTTGGATGTGTGGACGTCCTCGTCTGTGCTCTACCGCTGCCCTGCAGCCTGTCCCGGTTGCTTCGCATGTGGCTCTTTGCAGGTTGATGTGTTCGCTGTGCGGTGTGGCCGTGTTGTTGGTGTTGCCTTGCGCTTCGCTGCTCCACTGCCGTGTTGCTCATCCGCTGGCCGTGTTTTCCGTGCTTGCCGCTTGTGTGCCCTGTTGGTTAGTGGCCTTGTTGCTGGTGCCTTGTGCTCTGCTCCATGGTTGGCGACCTGCTGGTCCGCTTGCCCTGTCGTCCTCTGCAGTGCTGTTGCCTTGTTTGTGTTGTCTAGTGCTTCACTACACGGTTTGGCATTGTGCAGCCGTGTTGCCTCTGCTGTGTTGCCTGGTGCTCCACAGGGTTGCTGCCTGCTGCTATGTTCCGCTTGGGGACAGTCTGCCTTCAACAAGGGTCAAAGGGTTCATGACCCAAACCATCAAATACGGAGATTCTGCAGATTGTCGAGGGTTCAGCCTCCTGATGAGTCGGTGCAACTCCGACGAAACAATCTTGTCATCATTGTTTTTTTTATTTTTATTTTTTTGGTCTTCGCTGTTCTGTGGGACTTGTATTTTTGCTTTGCCTGCTTTCTGTGTTTGAGTGACGTCTGCCCTCCCGCCTCCCCCGTGCCTTCCAACCATTGTCTTTTGTTGTTGCCTAATGTCTTGTGCTTGGGGTATTTTTCTGTAATTGCACTTTTTTTGTCTTTCCTTGTTTTTTGCATTTATGAATGGTTTGCCCTCCCACCTCCCCCGTGCCCCCCAGTCCTTGTGCCTTTCTGCAGTTTGTTGTCAGTGCCTCCTTGCCTTTTGCTTTATTGTGCTTCCTTTCCCCGTCTTGTGGTGTCTGTTTGATCGTGCGTGTTCCAGTTCGCCCGCAAAGTGCAGTGGGAGCATAGATGCTCGTGTAGTCCGGCATAAGTCATTCCCCACCTTACAATATAGGTTCGTCTGCACCACGCCTACAAGTTCTTGTTCCTGAGCTTGCTCGTGTAGTCCAACATAGTTATTCCCCACCTCCGAGTCCGTCTCCACCACACCTACAAGTTTTCATTCTTAAGGTGCGCCGATATATTATTTTGGAGCTTGATTATGATGCGGTTTCCGTATCATACCGTAATCATGTCTTATCATGCGGGTTACACACTTACACACACACAAACACACATCCATGGCTGAGTGGGTGTGTAGAGTGGGTTTTATGGCTGTGTCAGACTAGTTTCTCAGACTTGCTGTCATTCTTGTCAGGGGTTCGGACCGACAGTCTGCCAGGATTGCCGGGTTGGTGTGAGCAAAGTCGACGACTTTTTGCAGAGGTATCGCTAACTCTGGGTGACGTGGTGAGTCCTTATCCATCAGTCAAATGCATCCTGGGAAGACTGTACGGGTTCAACCTCCTGATGAATCCGTGAAAGTCCGATGGCTGTCATGCTCTTCTTTGGGGAGTTGTGTATAGCGAACATGACAACACACACACACGCACGCGCGCACACGCACACACACACTCACACGCACGCACACGCACACACACTCACACATACACAAAAAAGGAAATGGAGGGTTAGTGGGTAGATGTAAACTTTGAATTGTACAGCTGTCGCATAATCGCTGATGGGGCAGGAGTGCTCAGCTTTAAAAAAAAAAAAAAAAAGGGGGGTGTAGGGTTTGAGAAACCCTACAACCCCATATTTTTGTCCTCTCCCTCCCCCCCCCATTCGGTGGGGAAAAATCCCCGAAGGTCCGGGGCCGCAACCCAACCGTGGCGGTCCGCAGCCACGGTTGAGATCCTGACCGACCGCCGGGATCGACCCCATGGTTGCCACCACGGGGGATACATAGTACTCAACTCAAGTGCACATGAGGGGTGGCTCACGGCATCGGCCAGACCTCAATCAAGCCCATGCAAGGGCGTCCAACCCAGACGTAGGGTAATTAGCATACCTTGTGAGCCCCTTTACTCAACTGAGACAAGAGGCCTGACTGCAGTCATCTAAACTGAGGTCATTTTCTCTACGATACGCAGTTTTCTCTCCCTATGGTCCCACCTCAGAGAAGAGAGATGATGCTATCGTGACCAAGCAACCGTTGCTGCATATCTCCATGGTGCAAGAGCAGGCTGTCAAAAGGCCTGCCCTTCGGCACCACTTGCCAGTGAAGTCGGTCTTTGAAAAAACAATCAGGGGCACAAACCAGCTTCATCTTTTTATTTTAAAGAGAAGAGAAGGGGATAGCCCTTGTTTTTTTCTCCGCTCATCTGATTCCATCAGTAGAAATGATGTTACCAGTCCCTCAGAGAATTTAAGGCTGCAGGTTGGGGGCTGGGAGCAAAGAAAATCTCTATATTGCTAAAAAAACGGGAGCCTCACTTTTAAAAAGGGGGTTACTCCATCAGGTCTTTGTAGTCAGGATTTGAACTTGGAGTCTGTTTACCAACAGTTACATGACCGGATTATTATGAGTGGACTATTCAGCCGCAAGGCAGGTACCATCAAAACTTGTACCACAATGGGACACTGGACCCAGTTTCCAAGCATGAGCAGCTCCCGACGATTCATAGATTGGAGCCATCACACAATGGAAGGCCTCCATCTGGGGTTGCTCTTATTACCTCCTGGATAGAGGATGTCCACAGCCTGTCTCTTATACACATCTAGATGTGTATAAGAGACAGCCCCTCTTCCCCCCATTCAAATTTTCTAACTCATGTTCTGTATATCAGTGGTTACACACTGTGTACCATGAGGCCCATGGGCTGGTAACTTGCTTCATCTCCATTCAATGTTCAGGAAGCGCAAATGCAACTGGAATTCAAGTGACTGTTTGATATGCTATCCCAGCACAACCGTAGGCCCAGAAGACAATCACCTAGAAAATTAGTCGAAATGGGTTCAGAATTTTTGCATCCAAAGTTCCTGCAGAAACTACAGTTGGCTTGAACCTAAGGACCCAACTAGAGGGGACAGATTAGGCAGGCTTAAAGCACCATTACATGGCTCCAGCCAAGTTGAGAGTCCGATTGAGCCTCTCCTAAAATTTAGGAGGCTCACAAGCCATCGATCAAGTAAACCAACGGTGGGCAGCCTCCGAAAGGGGCCTGCGGCCGATGGCTGGCATCTGCTGGTGGTTTACACTTAAAACCCATAATAATAACTGTGTTACTGTGGTTCATAGATGTGGAGCGCTTTTTTTTTTTTTTTTTTTTTTTTCCCGAAAATAGAAGCCTGCCTCTTGGGCCCATTCTGTGCCGCCAGATAAACTATATAAACCTAGCAGTTCTGCCTTATGTACCAAGCAGCAATCCAAAACAGAAAATTTGAAATTACATTCATTGATACTATTTGATACCGTTCCATGGATGTTTCCCAGGTTGGTGGATAGACCTAATGTGAGGTTGAATTGAGAGAAGAAAATAGTGTGGTAAAAATACAACTGTCCCGCATATAAGAGGAGAAAGACAGCTGTATCAAAGAAAAAGAGACTACAATTGGGATTTGGTCCAGCCATCGCGTGAGAAGACAATCACATACAAATGGGTTCATATAACTTCATAAACCGCGAGAATGAAAGCAGCAATGGAGACCATAGCGTGTGGCTTCTGAAAAAAATAATAAGACAGCAGAGCATAACATGCGCAAGATCAGACCATTTTATAAGAGGAGAGAGAGAGAGAGAGAGAGAGAGAGAGAGAGAGAGAGAGAGAGAGAGAGAGAGAGAGAGAGAGAGAGAGAGAGAGAGAGAGAGAGAGAGAGAG